TTCTGTTTTGCCAGGAGCCTTTTCTGCTTATCGGTATATCGCTCTCCAGAACAGAATGGGTCATAAAGGAGAGAAAGGTCCTCTAGCATCTTATTTGAATAGAAAAGATGAAAACATAAGCATTTTCTCTGCCAATAGATATCTCGCAGAAGACCGTATCCTTTGTTCTGCATTGGTAACAAAATCCGAACATTCTTGGTTATTACGTTATATTAAATCCTCTCAGGCTGAAACAGATGTACCTGAAGATGCTATTGGACTGATTAGGCAACGAAGACGTTGGATAAATGGCTCTTTTTTTTCTGGCTTTAATGGTGTCATGCACTTTTATTTTATTTCGAGAAGCGATCATTCTATTGTACGTCAGATCTTTTTATACATTAAAATGATATATCAAGCATATAGTCTTGTCTTTTCATGGTTTGCCATTGTAAATATTATATTATGTTATTGATTTATTTATAAATTTGTTTATATTGCATTATTTAGTAATAACATAATAATTTTGTAGGGGAATTTTTATTTAGCATTTCACAAATTGAGTCAAAATCTCATTATTCATCTTGTTCCCTGGAGCCCAGATGTCAAAAATGGCATATTCATAGCTTTACAATATATTTATTTGTCACTGATAATTTTGCAATTCATCCTTGCCTTAGGACATATGCCTCAAGGGTAAATATTAAATTTAAATAGGTTTATTTTTTTCAATTGTTACATTATGCAGTAATATTTTTTTTTAATAGTTCTGGTCGAATGTATACAATCTCAATAATCCTCTTTAGCATAATTATGATTTACATGCTATTTGCTACTGTCTGGATTATTTATACAAACATGGAAAGTAGAATTTTCTCTAGTGCAGGATTTGTAAATTATGATACTTTTAGACATATTATAAATGATGATACTTTTAGACATATTATACTTTCTTTGGCTTCTACATATGGTTTATTCTTCATTGCGAGTTTAATAATGCTTGACCCATGGCATATGATTATTTGTATTTTACAATATCTAATAATGTTACCGTTTTATGTTATAATCTTAAATATTTATGCTTTTTGCAATATCCATGATGTCACGTATGTAATTTGGATCAATGTTTTTTATGCTTTTGCAAAATTTACAGTTGGACATATGTGATCCAACTCAACTCAATGATTTTTATGCTTTTATAAAATTTACAGTTGGGGAAATAGGCCGGAGGCACTACCAAAAATGTTAAAGGAACATGCCATCAGTGTTGAATCTAGCACGAGAATACCTACAGTTGAAATTTCTATTCCACAAGACATTAATGATATATATCAGCAAGCTGTTCAGGAAATAAGGCGAAAACCTTCAAAAGATATAATAATTGATATGCCAGAACAAAACAGACAAAATTCAAACAAATTATTTCGGACAAAAGTTCTATATTTATGGGTTCTTAGTAATATTTTATTAATAACTGTTATTACAAATTTTAAATTAATAACAGATTATCATATAGTGTTTATTTTTTGGTCCGTTACTGGAATTGCTGCTTTTAGATTACTTGGTACTATTTTATATCAAATATTTTGTTTATTCGACAAAATTACAAAATGTACTTAAGTTTTATTGTTATAATATGTATAAGTATGTCACTGGTCGAAATTGTACAATTCAGTATACTAAATGTTTATAAAAAAGAATTACGCAAAATTTGTGTTAGTTGTGTGAAAAATGTCTAAAAAATGCCATTTAGTCTAATTTTTAATTTTTTTTTTATTTCAAATAAAATAAAATAAAATTAGGCCGGACCAACTTAATTCGGTGGATGAATTTTAACCCGCAAATATAATTATCCTGCGTATTATACACTATGAGGCTGGCAAAATGGTATTATGATTTTTCAAATCCCAAAAAAACAGTACGGCACATAACATTTATACGACACTTTCACTTAAACGGTAAATGTGCCGTATTTGCCGTGATATTTTTGTTGGAGTAGCTACTCTTGAGATTCTAAATGTTTGCATCACTACAAGATGCATTTGCCTAATCAAGGTTATTTGCAAAGGCTTTTCCTACTTATGAAACTCAGTATGTTATCTTACAAAGTGTGTCTACTAACGCTTTACCTCATTTTGTTCTAAGTTGTTACCAGGAAGCAAAAGAAGCCTTCTATTTTTCGAATTCAAGGATATTGCCAGCAGATTTCAGGTAGGTATTGCAAGTGCATCTGCTGATTATTTTTCCTTCTGATCCACGGCTATTATTAGAAAGACTCAAAAAAATCAGTGTAGTGTTCTTGCAAAATACATTTACCTGATCTAAGATTATTATTGGGAAAACTCAAAAACTAGTGTAGTGTTTTTTAAAATGCAGTTGCAAAGACTTTCCTCCTTTTTAACTCAGTATGATGTTTTTACAAAGAGTGTCTACTAACGCTTTTCCTCTTCTTGTTCTAAGTTGTTTCCAGGGTGTAAAGTGTATTTAAAGAAGCCAGCCCTTTTCGAATCCAAGATTATTGCTAGCAGATTTCAGAAAGTTATTACAAGCGCATTTGCTGATTATTCTGCTGATCCAAGGTTAATATTGCGAATACTTAAAAAAAACTGATGTAATGTTCTTGCAAGATGCATTTGCCCGATCTAAGGTTATTATGAAGACTCAAAAAAAAATAATAGTCTGGTATCCTTTCAAGATACATTTGGAAAGGCTTTCCCTTCATCTAAATCCCAGTATGGCATTTTTACAAAGTGCATCTATTAACACTTTCTTTCTCTTGTTCTAAGTTGTTAGCAGGAAGATTTAAGAATCATCATAATACTTTTACTATGTATAATTAAAGAAGCCTTCCCGTTCTTGAATCAAAGCTTGTTTCCAGCAGATTTCAGGGAGTCAGTGCGTCTTATTGCAAGTATATTGACTGATGGTTTTCTCCTAACCCAAGGTCATTATTGGGAAGACTAAAAAAATTCAATGTAGTGTTCTTGTACGATGCATTTGCCTGACCCAAGGTTATTATTGGGAAAAAAATTCATTGTACTTGCAAGATGCATTATCTGATCCAAGGTTGTTCTTTACAAAAACCTGTCAAAATTGAACTTGCTAAACATAAGCAATTTAACGGTGCCGATAATGTACTATTAAAGTACAGATTTTTGCAAATATAAGCACTTTATTAACATTTTATTACTATATTTTAATTTTATAAATATATTTGTCAATTATTATGCTAATAAAATGCTAATATTAGCAATATATACGTATTATCAAAATTTTAGTAATAATAAAGGCCTAAAAATTACCATTATTTAACTAATTTATTAGATATTTAAAGACACTGATAATGAAATAATCTTGTAATAAATTATTAAAATTGCTAACTTAGTACTAAAAATGCACTATATATTGCTTATTATTTGCAAATAATTACATATCTCGAAATCATCAGATTTTGTAAAGTTATCTAGAAGACTCAAAAAAAAAAAAGTGTGGTGTTCTTTCATGTTGCATTTGCAAAGGCTTTTCCCTGCATAATTCTTTACGTGTATTTACCTCTCCGATCCAAAGCCATCTCCGGGAAGGCTATAAGGCCAAAAAAACTGATGATCGATATTAATCTTCAAACACCATTATGTAAGACGATTGTCGTGAAATCATCTCAAAAAAGATTGCAAAACTTTTCGAGAACGTCGTATGGCAGGGATGGTAAAATTATAGTCATTTGCCTTTTTTCAAATGATCTAGGTCATTTCGAACTAAAATCCATAATAAAATTGGGGCCATTTGGGGTCATTTGAAGGTCATTTGAAAGTCATTTAACATCCCTGTCGTATGTTGTTGCTGAAAGATGTATTTAACACTATCAAATGTCATAAAAATATCGACCATAAGAAAGAAATAGAGCGAAAAATTGGCGTGAAGGTTGCTGTTGGACAAGAATTTGGAGGTGGTCCAACAGCTGCCCTCTATCTTCGTCAACCAAGCTCGACATACACTTTTGTTTCTTTATTTCCAATATGGTATAAACATATTTAGAATCAAAAGCATTTTCTGCAGCATCATCAGCATTAAAAACGCTTATGTCTGGCATGTACCCCAAGACATGCGCTTTTACGCGTGTCTACTGCAGTCACACGCTTCCATACAGAGCTTGATACCTCCATCAGCCTGTTAAACCATGCTTGAATCTCCTTCTCGGTTGATTGATTATCTGGATTCGGTGTAATCGTTGATGGGAGAGCTTAAAAAATAATATGGATAAGGGCCAATTTAACTCCAACGGTGGGAGTGTCGGAGGTCTATTGAGACAATATGACACTATGAAACGAAGGCTTTAATATTGATAGCGGTGATAATAGGGTGATGCAACTATAGGTAATGCTGTTAGGGATAGCTCAATTAGGATGATGGGGTAAAAGCGGACGATAATCAAGTGATATCAGCGGTAACTTTAAAGGCATGTGAGGGATTAACCGAGTTTAGTAACCAATCGTAAGTCTCGTTCTCTACCACAAAGTTCTAGAATCCGAGTCTTAATAAGCCAAATCGAAGTTACAAGTCAATTCAGTCCGTCGAATTGAGTCTCGAATGGGT